CCCCCCTCGGGGTGGGAGCAGGGGTTAAAGGGAGAGTAAATGTGAATCATGGTCGCAGCTTGTTAGTACAGTAGGACAGTGTCTGCTGACATGTTCTTTTATTCCACATTTCCCAACATGGTCCGTGTTTATTTACTCCACGCGAGTTCATTACTTTCCTATTGCAATGACCCATGGGATCGTTACTGACAAACCCTCTGTGCCACTCCTGAACAACTGAAGAGGAAGCAGCACTTTGCAGCTCGTTTTATAAAGCCAGAGTTACCGTGATACCAAAACAAGGCAAGAACATTAAATATTCCCCGTAAACATAGTTGCAAAAATTGTAAGCAAAATGGTGGCACACTGATAGCATTTGATCCCATAATGTCATCAAAGGCTTGCACACCCCTGCTAATGGAGTGTATCCCCGGAACGCAGTGTTGGCTTCATAGTCAGACATCGCTCAGTGCCATTCACCATATTAACAAACTATGAAGGAAAACATATGCTCATCTCAATAGATGCAGACATTTCTGACAAATCTAGAACCTATTATTAGTCAAAAGCTATCAGCCATGAAGATACATAGCCGACAAGTAAGCACATAAAAAGATTCTCAACATCATTAGATATCGGAGACATGCAAATTATAAACCACAAAGCGATACCATTGCCGCCTGTTAGAATGAGAAGCAGTCAAAGACTCACGCCGCGTGTTGACGAGGACGTGGAGACTGGAATTCTCGGGCTGATCGGGGAAACAGTTTGGCTGTTGCTTTAGAAGATTAAGTCACCTACTGTACGGTTTTCCCACTGCAATCTATTTTTCCAAGGGAAAACAAAATACATGTATCTACAAAGACTTGTACATGAATGCTCACAGAACTTTATTTGTAATCACCACAAGTTGGTTAAAAAAAAACTGTCATGAACTAGCAGGTGTGCACATGCACTAACACGCCACTGTCTGGTTTAAGTGGGAGAGAGGGATGAACTGCTGAACAACGTTAGTTCTGACCCCGAAGTAATCACTCCAAGTCACAGAAGCCAGACCAAAAAGAACACATCTGTATGATTGCTTTTATGTGAACTCTAGGAAGTGCGAACTTTCTACAGTGACAGGAACCTGGCCAGTGGGTGCTTGGAGGAAGGAGCAGAGACGGGAGGACTGTGCTGAGGGTGTGGGTATCGGAGCTGCCTGCGTGTGGTGACGACTTCAGATACATGAATCAGAACAAGCCAAGGACTAAAACTATGTACCGTGAATTTTATGTCAGTTATGTCTAAGCAAAACTTTTTTTTAAATAAAAACAAACAACAATGGAAGGACCTTATTGATCATAACGATGGCATTTCTTAAATCTCGCTCTATATGTTTTGCTACTAGCCCTTCTAACTGGTGTGAGGGGCCACCTCATTGTGGTCTGATTTGCACTTCCCTTAGGATCATTCTTTCGTGAGCTTTTTGGCCGTCTGTATGTCATCTTTCAAGAACTGTTTAGATGGATTGCTCATTCTTAATTGGGTCATTTGCTCTTTTACTGTTGAGCTGTTGGAGTCCCTGATACGTCTGGTCATTCATCCCTTCTCAGATGTATAACTTGCAAATAGCTTCTCCCATCCTGTCTGTTTGTCTGTCTGTTTGTTTGCTGGGCAGAAACTTTAACTTTGATGTGATTCCATTTGTCTATCTTTTTTTGGAGAGTTTTTTTGTTTTTGTTTTTGCTGTAGGGTGCCTGCGCTTGACAAAAAGACAGAAAGAGATAGACAGAAAGCGAGAAATCACCCCCCAGGGGGGATGGCCACGCCAAAATCCCTTCTCCTCCATTCTCCTCTCGGAATCTTGGGCACACACGCACATGTGCCCGGCCGTGAGTTTAAGCCACTGGGTCCAGGACTCAAACTGCGGTCGACTACATGGGAGTCCAACAACGTAGCCATTATGCCAACTGCTGGCCCCTCATTTGTCTATTTTTGCTGTAGTTGCCCTTGTTTTTGAGGGCTTATAGAATAAATATCTCTTTGTGTACATCAGTGTCCTGAATTGCTTCCCTATATTTTTATATTTTCTTCTAGTTACTTCATGGTTTGGAGTCTTACATGTAAGACTTCAATCTATTTTGAGTTAATACTTGTATTGAGTGAGAGAGGGGTCTAGTTTCATTCTTCTGCACACGGATATCCAGTTTTCCCAGCACCATTTAGTAAAGATTGTCCTTCCTCCCCTGAACATTCTCGGGACTTTTATTAAAAGTCAGTTCGCCGTGTTTGTGGGTTGATTTCCAGGTTCTCCATTCTGTTCCACTGTTCTGTGTGCCTGTTTCTGTGTCAGAACCTGTACTTTTGGTCACTGTGGATTTGTACTATGTTTTGAAGTCCTGGCTCAGCTCTGGAGGACAAGGAGCTCTTGTGCACTGCTGGTCGGAACGTAAATTAGTGCAGCGACTACAGTAAACAGAAGAGGGGTCTTCAAAAACTGAAAATAGGACTAGCTCGTGAGCCAGGGGTCCCATTACTGGGCATATACAAAGCGAAAGGAAATCAATATGGGGAGAAGCTGTGTGCTCTTCCATGTTTACTGAAACAGCTAAGACACGGACTCCACCTAAATGCCCAACACCGCACAAGGAAAACGCGTACTTACACAGCAGGGGTGTTTTCAGCCGTTGGAGAGGATGACACCCAGCCATTAAGGCAGCATGAATGAGCCTGAGGGGACAATGCTGTGAGACAAACAGGGCACTGGGAGACAGGCCACGTGTGCTCTCACCCATCAGTGAGACCAAGGCTTACAGTATCTGTGAGCACAGCGTGTAACAGAGGATGCCAGGAGCTGGGAAGGGACGGGGTGAGGGGACGGTGAGAACTTAGTCAGCAGGTACAAGAATGCAGGTGAGGAGGAGGAGGAGTTCTGGAATTCTACAGCACAGAGGAGAATCGATAGTTACAATTCAGTGTGCACGTCAGAGTAAGAGAGGAGCCCGAACGTCCCAACACAAAGGAATGATAAATGTTCGAGATGGTGGAATTAAAGAAAATTATTTTATTAAAGTTTCTCATGAGTGAGAAAAGCAAAAAGAGAGACAGAGAGACAGAGCCCCGGAGTCTCAGTTGAGAGCTGACTGATCCACCTCATCTTCAGCCAACCCTGGGTCATGGGCACGCAGGGGAGTCTCAGATGTGAGCCCAGAACCTCCCACGTGCATCAGCTCCACAGGCATCACCTTTACTGCTGCACCAGTGTCCAGCCCACTGAGGATAAGTCCACGGCCCTGACCTGATCATTACACAGTGCACACATTTTCAAGACCCACACTGAATCCCCCAAATTTCTACAACTATCATATGTAAGTCAGAGCTCATAGTAAATCAATTACCACCTTTTGGGTGCCAGGTTTATTTTTTAACCACAGCCCTGTGCATGACATACTATTTACTATTTACTCAGTGATTTCCCTTCCAGACTGATCCTGTGGGAATCTGGGCACATGCGAGGAGACACCGTCAGGAAGGGAGGGGACATGCTCCCTAAGGCAGCATGTCAGCAGGGCCTAGTGGGGGGGTGACAGTTTCACTCATTGTCACTATAGGGCCCTGCAGACTTCAGTCCCAGGGAGTTACAGGGCAGCTGGGGAACAATCCACAGGGTTGTGCACACCCCTCACCTCTAATACTGTCTAAAATGCATAAATAGAATACTACGCAGTTACAAATTTTTGGTACGCACGACAGTTCGGATGGATCTTCAAAAAATTATACTGATTGGGGAAAAAAGCCATTTCAAAAGGTATTGCATCCCTCTCTCTCTCTCCCTTTTTAAAAGTTTGCCATAAGTCATGTGCACTCCCTGGAAAGATATGTTGGGGAGGGAGTGAAAAAGTACCCTATAGGGGCGGGTCACCAACAACCCATCTTTTCCATTTCTCACTCCTTTAAAGATTTTAGGCATACACACACACACACCCAGTATATGCTTTGAAGCCACTGCACCTGGTCTCAAACAGGTGGCCATGTGGGATCCAGCTCCTTCAACCACCACCCCACTGGATGGCCCATGATTTATTTTCAAAATGACGACATGACGGAGTCGGAGAATAGATTAGTGTTTTCCTGGCTGTAGGAAAGGAAAGGGAGCAGCAGGAAGAGTTTATCTATGGTGATGGGACAGTGTCTCCATTGTGTGTGGCCATAAGAATCTACCCAGGTAATGAAATTGTTCATAACTACACACACGTGTGTGAGAGTGCATGTAAAACTGGAGACACATGGGGCAGCGGTTTATCAGAGAAGGAGAACCAGCCTCCACTGCAGTGGAAGGGGCCGAATGGGTTGCTGAA